TTTTCTTTTCTTGCAATCATTGTACACACTCATCCTAAATGTTCTTTATCTCAGAGTCATATTTGATGGTTTACCTGTGAAGTGTCCCACTATCTGACCCCTTGCAGAACTTGTTTAGATGGTTGGAGCAATTTATGTTAGAGATAGAAACTGATACTTCCTTTACTGATTTTCTGCAGAATTAAGTTTTTAGCTGAAATAGAAACCAAGGAGCTTCCACGGAATGGAGTGGGGGTGGGGTCAACCTAATAGTGAGCTAAGAATTTTCGACTAGGTTTTTAATTGTCTAATGTTTTTGTGTGTAACTATTAGCTTAACTGAAGTTAAATCTTCTGAATTCTGACTTTAATGAATTCTTTCGGACCGCCAATCAACTGGACTACTTTGTCTTGGATGGTGTTGCATTTCTTGAGTGTTGTCTGAGCTGGACTCATTCATGCAAATTGAAAGCATTTTGTCACACCCCTGATTTGTCTTGTAGATGGTGGACAAATTTTGGAGAGTCCAGAGATCAGTGACTCACCTCGATTCCTAGCCTCTAACCTACTCTTGTAACCACAATATTTATATGAATGGTCCAGTTTGGTTTCTGGTCAATGTAAATCCCCAAGATGTTGATGCTGATGGATTCAGTGAAGATAATGTCAGTGTGTTTCAAGAGAATGTGATTGGATTCTTATTGGAAACTGTGTAGTCTGGTACACACCTGATTGGCACAAATGCTCTGTGGTACACATCAGTAAAGACTGATTATCCATCTCCTCTTGTTGTATGAGAGAATGGACTGTGTCATAATCTGAGAAGTGGTTGGAACTGAACGCCATGTAACATTCTGACCATCTGATTAAGTGAAGGAAGGAAGGTCATTGAAGCAACTGGTTGCACCTACACACAGCCTTGAAGAAACCATAATCATCATGGTTGGTGCTAGGTATGAACCTGGACTGTAGAGAATTTTCCCTCTTGTTGTTGACTTTTAATTTTAAAGATCCTTAATTTCACATTTATTCAATTTCTGTCTGTTTTGGGTTTCAAGATTGATTTGTACGCATTTGCAAATCTGGCAGAGGTGGTGGTGGTGGAAGAAAGGAAAACTTTGAGATCCAAACTAATGAGTTAGCTTTTTGCCCAAGAAGTGCAGAGAATCAGAAATATTCACCACCTTTCATAGCATTTTTAGAAACCTGCATTTCTTCTCTATTACGCAACTTGAGTTTTCAATTACTTTGGTGCACCTGAGAAGAAAGAACATGTGGAGCCTAGAAGCTGGCTTGTGCTGGTACGAATGTGTACCGAGAATTGTCCCTGACCCAGAACACATCTTGTCAGCCTTTGCGTCGGGATGCAGACACCTGTTGGACATTCTCCGGCAGCTCCCTGCTGATGAGGTTTGCAATTTTTAGATTATTGGCAGCAGCTCTGTAACCGGTTCTGGTGGGGGTGGACTGAGGAGTTTGGGAATGGGACCAGTTGGGAGTTGTGGATCTGGAAGGAGCACTTTCCATTGTCACATGCAGGAAAAATATAGTTTACAATGCTGAATCTTTTTAGTGACAGTTGGCAACAGTTCTATTTTATGACTGCTGATTAGATAGTATATGTACCATATGATCTGCAAACTTAATTGATTAAGAGGATATCCTATGTGCACTGCCCCCACTTGCTTATATATAGAGTCTTGACCATTGAACTCCTCTATTTGACTCTAGTTTTGTATGACAATGTTGTAAGTGCTCCTCTTCTGGGTCAGAATGCATGCATAAATGCAGTCTGCCATATTGCATGCTTTTGTTCCTCTTTTTATACCTGTGAGATGGATGCAGCATTATCAGATTTCTCTAGGCCATCGAGCAGCTGCTACTTTTAAAAGCCTGCAGCTGCTGAAAGAGCGAGATGCAGACCAAATGTGGGAAAAGATTGAAATAGAAGGAGGAGCAACACTGAGTCAGCTGTAGTGAGAGCTCTCAAGAGTCTGATATACTTCTATGAATATTCTGCACAGGCAGTGAAAGAATTTGCTGGGTAGCATTTCCATTTTGACAAATAATTATCCAGTGTTGGAAACTAATGAATTTGTGAAATTGTCCAATGTAAGTGACATTGCAAGCACCCATGTCCTTCCTGAACAAAAGCTGCTGGAAGCACTAACTCCTCCATACGTACTGTGGTAGAAAGAAGGATTTATTTGTAATTAGGTGCTGACTTGCATGACCTCAGTATGTCCCGGAACACTCTAAAGCCAAAGAAGTACTTTTGAAGTGTAGTCACTACTAAACTGTAGAAAACTGGACAGACCATTTTACACTTAGCAAGGTCATACAAAGCTTCACAATGTTAAGATGCCCAGATAATCTGACTTTCAACAACATTTATTCCTCAATTCAACATTAGTCAGCATGTAGGAGAATACTCACCTACTCCATTCTCGATAGTACCATGGGATCATTTACACTTGCCTGAGAGGGCTTGTCTCAATTGCGTTTCTGGCAAAGTCATCTTGGAATATTTCATCAACAATCTATATTGTGGTTTGGTATTCAGGATAAAAGTGATAGAGGAGGATCTATTTTTGTGTATAATCAGTGCAAACTGTATCCTTCCATATTATGGAAAAGGTGAATAAGTTGGAAGAGGCAACAATGCAGTGTGCCAGTCATGCTGAGTACTCCTGTGGTGTGAATTGCTACTTGGTAATATTGAAGTGATGAAAGTAAAATATTGGAGATGCCAGAAACCAAAAATAATAAGAGAAGTTCTGGAGAAACTCAGCAGATCTGACAGTGTCTTCGGAGAGAGAAATCAAGTCAACATCTGAGTGCAATATGATTCCTCTTCAGAACACCATGACAACACTCATGCTTGGGTTGATCAAGTCTTGCTGAATGCAGACATGGACTGTTTTATTATATGTTGAGTTGTGAATGGGGCTAAAGACTCAATGACAAAAACGGGGAGTCACTACGATGAGAAAAATTCATTGATTAAGTATTTTAGCTTGAGGTTAGGCCACTGCCCTGAGCACTGATCTTTAAAGATCAATTTTGTCTATTCTCCTCGACCACGAGGCCCACTGTGTCTGTGGCCACCATCATTCTGGTGCCACAATTGATTAGAAAGAGATACATCAGTGTAGTTTCCTTGTCCAATATCTGTTCCTAAATCAACAAGCCTTTTGTGTGCAAATTGGAAGCTGTTTTCTCCTAATTACAAGAGTGAGTACACTAACTTGCAGTGAAAGTTGTGGGATGATATATGTATATACAGTTGCTCAAAATTTGGAACAATTTTGATAATGGGGAGAAACTGTTTGCACTGGGAGGAGGATGAATAACCACAGCACACATTGAGAAATTACAAAGAATCAAGGGGTCAATTTTATTTTTAGAATCATAGATGTTGAGATTTCTTGCAATTGGGAATGCACTGGCTGAAACAGTGATGGAATCATGAACAAGGATCTTCCCAGCCCTGAATGATGTGGACTATGATGGAATTGTGAGAAGTCAAGCAAGGCCCTTTCTTGATGGGGTGAACTAACAGTTGTACTGGGCTTCTGTCTTGATTTGCTTTTTTAATGTAACCAGAAAGCTTGTCATGGTTGTCAGCAGTCATGAGTCAAGGGGTAGATATGTATCTATATGGCACTGTGCTGTGAATCGCACCCCAGTCCCATGTACATACGTGGCAAACATGTATTAAAGTCTTCAGTCGGAGGGCTCCAGCTCATTAAGCCAATGGTAGGTGCCAAATCCTCCCACCACCACCACCACAATAACAACCACCACCAAATTTTTCGGCACAGTTATTCAGCTGCTCAGGGCTGTCATACTGAGGATATTCTTCTGTGTGAGGGGGCTGTGGAGCCAAATGTCAGGCGTCACACCAAGTGTCTCGGCTCTTTTGACCCTATTGTGGGCTGCTTTCTCCTGGAATGAGAGAGTAAGGGATGGATTGAGGGAGATGAAAGTATGTGCCTCAGCTGTTATTGCAGAGGTCCTGTGGGACTAATAATGTGCAGGGTATTTCTCAGATATGTTCCCAAATGCTTAGCTTAATGTCAAGCTAAGAATGGATGTTTGAGAAGGAAGGGGTTTTAGAACTAAGTTATGAAACAAACCCATGGTACAAAAGATGAAACAATTCTTACAGGAGCCATTTTGACAGGAACACATTGTGCCAAGAGAGAAGTTTAAATGGAATTGGGTGTTTTTCTGATATTTTTCCAACTCTGTTTGTCTGACTGAAATTTTAAATTTGACTTGGCTAGGGCGCCCATTCTAAGCCACTGTCTTTCCTCAAGCTTTGAATATTTTATCCCAGCTGCATCTTTATAGGTATTTTTTAATCAAACTATTCAGAGGCACACCTCTGGATCTGATGGGACTTTACCTCTGGGCCAGATGACCTGGGTTTGAGATATTACCATAGTGCCGCAAGAGCCCTCCATCTGTACTTGTAACCCAAGCTTGAGGAGGAGAGTGCTAGTGACGATTCTGCCTTGGGTTGGAAGGAAGTCCAATGCAGGCTTCTTTTTTAAGCTCCTTTGTGGACCAAGAGGACCAGGAGTAATTCTGGCCATTTCTCATGTCAGCCTCCTGCCATTTGATTTCATACTCCAGGTGTAGATGTAGATGAATAAAACAAATTATCAATTGGCTGTGTCTAGATGTTATCATTGTCTGATATTTCAAAGCAGCAAATTTGATCAGGCCTTTCAGCAATGGATTTAAGGAAATGATAGGAAAATGTACAAACATGGAAGATGTGACAAATGTCACCAGATACTACCATAGAACTGTACAATTAACTTTGCCTAGATTCAGCAATTCTCAGACCAGTGCCATCTGCAAATTTTGCTTTGTGCCACTTCAACTATAGTTTTACTTGCAAAACAGATGGGAAGCTTTTTTTTTGAGTTTCATACCTTTTACCTAAAGTAATGTGAAAATGTTGCCTTGTTGCTAATTTACTAACGGTTCACTTTCTTTTACGTTTGAAAGGATGATGAAGTGGTTCTTCAGTGCACTACGACCATTGTCAAAGCACAGATTAAGCTCTGCCTTTCTGCTGAAGGATTTGGAAATCGGCTTTGTTTCCTTGAAGCTACATCAAATGCCAAGGTATTTCTACTGTCTAAAATTAAACATAGTTGTCCTGAAATTTCCCCCATTGCATAACTACAGTTTTGAGCTGCAGTTCTGAAGAAGAATCACTGGACCTGAAATGTTAACATTGCTTTCTGTCTCTTGATGCTGCCTGACCTGCTGAGTTTTCCCAGTAATTTCTGATTTTGTTGCTGATTTCCAGCAGATGCAGTTTGGTTTTTTAGTATTAGAGCAGAGTTACACTCCTTTTTTTCCAAGAGGAAGCTATTAATTAATTTATCCTGGGCCTCTGCCAATCATACTGTGTGAGTTCCCTCAATTATTTGTGCTGCTGTAAAATATGGCTGCCAAAACCATATTTAGCTCATTGCTATAATTCCATCCCGCAAATGTTTCTACTACATGTATTCTGAATATGCACAAGTTCATGCACAAAATTTTAAATGCACTTGGACCCAAAGTCACTATTCGTTACTTAATTTTTGTAATAATTTCTGTTTCTTTTCCTTTTCTGTTTACCAAGTTCTGCAGTTTCTTCTTCATTTTTAAAATCAATTTATAGTTCCCATTTCTGGTGATAGGCTCACCACCAATATCCACTACAAATCCATTGACTACCACAGTTGTTTGGACTATTCTTCCTCACACCCCACTTCCTGTAAAGACTCCATTCCTTTCTCCCAGTTTCTCTGTCTCCGCATCTGTTCTGATGATGCCAGCTCCTACGAGGGGCCTCTGAAATGTCCATCTTCTTCCTCAACTGAAGATTCCCCACCACCATAGTTGACAAGGCACTCAGCCGTGTTGGCCCCATCTCTCACTCTTTTGCCCGCACCCCTTCTCTTCCCTTCCACAACACCAGTAGGGTCCTTGTCCTCACGTACTACCCCACCAGCATCCACATCTAAAGGATCATTAACTGTCTTTTCCGCCACCTCCAGTGGGATGCCACCACCAGACGCATTCTCCTCCCTTGTCAGCCTTCCACAGGGACCATTCCCTCCAAGACACCTTGGTCTGCTGCTCCTCCACTTCCCACAGCTCTCCACACCCCACAACACTCGGAGAAGGTTCAACACGTGTCAATTTACTTCCTCCTTCCCCACTATCCGAGGTGACAGACAGACACACTTTCCAGGTGAAGCAGCAATTTACCAGAACCTCACTCAATCTAGTCAACTGTATGTGCTGCTCACAATATGGTTTCTCTACCTTGGGGAGGCAAAATATCGATTGGGCGATCACTTTGCAGAACACCTATGTTTTGGCTGCAGAAATGACCCTAAGCTTCCACTTACCTTCCACTTCAACACACTACTGTGTTCCCTGACCAATGTTTCTGTCTTGGCTTGCTGCAGTGCTCCAGTGAAGCTCAGCACAAGATAGAAGAACAGCGTCCCATTTCCCTCCTGAGGGGACTTTGTAGCCTTCAGGACTGAAAATCAAGTTCAACAATTTTAGGGCCTGAGCACTTTCTTTCACATCATTCTCCCAACCCCTGGACATCAGACCTTGTTATCACATGGGCTGCTACCAGAACCCAACCCATTGTCAGCTATGAATGGGCCCCATTAGCAGCTATTGATTCTCACAGGCTAGCCATTACCCATACCTTTTGTCCAACTGCTAATCTTCACCACTGGGCTTCAACTCCACCAATTGTTTACTCCTTCCCCACTCTTCTCACTCCATGTTCGGTGTATATACCAATCATTTCCTAGCTGCAGTCAGCTCTGAAGAAGGTTCACTGAACTGAAAAGTTAACTCTGCTTTCTCTGCAGAGATCCTGCCAGACCTGCCAACTTTCTCCAGCAATATCTTTATTCTTTTTACTCCCTCACCCCACCACCTTCTGTGCTTCACCTTTTTCCTTATTTCTTAAGTACATCTTGGCACAAGATGGAATGTGTAACTTTGACCCATTTTAACAATTCAGTATAAGAGTATGAAAGATTCATTTTATCATTTTTACCAAAATACCATTATCTGAAACTGAAGAATAAAAGTGATCAATTGTGAGTTTACATTATAACACCATGGTTGAGTCTGAAATATTTATGTATTTATGCATTTGAAGTAACTGAAATTATAGTTGCTGTTTTCCATAACAACCTGAATTAAGGTTCAGGTTTGTCTGGCTGAATGTGGGACACTCGTTACTGAAAAGTGGAACAAAACAAGAACATTCATAACAGTCCATGGAAAGATACTGGCATAATGTAGGTTTTCCCAAAAGAATCTCAAATGTAGATTACCTAAATTCATAGAATCCCTACAGTGTGGAAACAGGCCATTCAATCCAACAAGTCCACACTGACTCTCTGAAGAGCATCCCACCCAAACTCGCTCCCCGCCCCCCCCAACCTCTAACCCTGCATTTCCCATGTCTAATCCAGCCAACCTACACATCCCTGGACAGTAAGGGGCAATTTAGCATGGACAATCTACCTAACCTGCACATCTTTGGACTGTGGGAGGAAATCAGAACAAACCCATGCAGGCACTGGGAGAATGTGCAAACTCCACACAGACAGTCGCCTGAGGCTGGAATTGAACCCAGGTCTTTGGTGCTGTGAGACAGCAGTGCTAACCACTGCCATTGTGTCACTCCAAAGTCTTGTGCTTCGAAGGATCTTGCGAACATAGGAGCAGGGTAGGCCATACAGTTCCTCCTATCAACCTTGGCATGCAATAACATTATGGCTGAACTTCTACATAAACAAACTTTCCCACTCCATAACTACACCCCTTGATTCTCTTTTGTTATAGAGGTTTACAGAACAAAACAAGCACTCAACTATTCTAATCCCACTTTCCAGCACTTGGTGCATAGCTGTATGCCTTGACAACATAAGCATATATCTAATTGCTGCTTAAATGTTTGAGGGTTTCTGCCTCTACCACTCTTACAAAAGATTCCTATCACTCTTGAGTGAAAAAAAATTTCTCCCACCCCTTCTAAACCTCCTGCCCCTTACTATAAATCCAGGCCCTGATACAAACTTATCCAAAAGTATTGTCTGTTCGTCTGCTCTGGCCAAATCATAACTGATCTTATTAAATTGGCCTTCCCCCAGTTTAGAACTTTGGTTTCAGGCCCATCCTTGCCCTTTTCCATATCAACCTTGAATGTAACGGATTTATGGTTGCTGTCTGCAAAATATTTCAACATAAACTAGCCCAGGACCATTCCCCTCCAGTACAGTCTTTTACATTGTTTAAAAAGCTCTCCTGGATGCATTCTATTCCCTCTAAACCTTTCACACTATGGCTACCCCAGTTAAAGTTGGGGAAGGTGAAATCCCCTACTATAACTACCATCTTAGTTTTACACTTATCTGAAATTTGCCTACATGTCTGTTCTTCTTTTTCTCTCTGACTGTTGGAGGCCTATAGTATTGCTTCTTTTTGGTTTTAAGTTCTATGTGCGTGAATTCATTTGTGGAGCCTTCTAAAATTTCTTCCCTCCGCACTGCTATAATTGATTCCCTGATCAATAGTGTGGCTCCCCTCCTCTTTTACCTCCTTCCCTGTCATGCTTGAAGACTCTATGAATTGACCACCTGGAGATACAGAATCGTAGTAATTTATAGTACAGAAGATGCTCATTCGGCCCATTGATCCCCTCCGCTCAGTGGAGCAATCCAGTCAGTCCTAACTCCCCACTTGATCCCTGTATCCTTGTAAGTTTATTACAAGTTCCCATCCAATTTCCTTTTGATGTCCTTGATTGTTTCCCCTTCCATATCCTAGTGGGCAGCAAGTTCCTATTTGAAACCACTTGCTGCAAGAAAAAAAGTCTTACTGCATTTTCCCTGGCATCTGTTATCAGAAATCTTAAACCTTTGTCCACAATTCCTTGTACCAGCAGCTAATGGGAAGAAATTTTCATTAGCTGGAAAATTCTGGCATATTTTCTCTAATGGCAAACCCATAATGTGCACACATTGCTCCTTGTCCCCCTCCCAGTGCTGCAAATAGGAAAACCTACTGGATCTTCAGCCTATCGGTCTTGTAAATGCTCTTCCAGCACCATTTCCTGGGACAAAGATGTCTGAGCGGCTGAACTCGTGTAGCAACGTTGCCTCAGAAACTGAGGCTTGCACCACAGCAGTGCCAAAGTCCAGCAGACAAGATAGGACGTTTTTCAAAGGGGTCAACTGAGTTCAACACAAGGGCTTTCAGTGGCGAGCCCTGTCCCCATCTATCTCTTCAATCATTCCCAAATTGTGGCAGATCATCCCCTATCCAAGCAGCAGGCAGGCTGCTCCTGATGCCTGCTGAAAACAGTTAATTGCAGCGATGGCATGCAGAAATCCTAAAGTAATTGTTAAAGCTCTTATGTCGTCAATTAATTGGCAATGGGCAGGAGGGTGAGCTTAATGCTTCCCGCCCAAAACATAGTCTCTGTCGTGGTGGGTATCTTCCAAATGCCAACCCACCTGACTATTTTCCCAGCCCACTACATTCTTTACCATTTCTCTAGGGGTGGGGGGAAGATTCCACTGTGCACCATCCTCTAGCTGGGAAAAAAATGCATCTACCATTTCCTATTTTTTGTCTTTAAGCCAACGTTTTTGTCCATTTGGTTTCATACTCTGATTATGTTGCAAGGCATTAATGCTCTATATCTGCTTGCATAAATTCTGTTCATGTAGCTGGTCACTGAACATTAATTTTTTAATCAATTGGAATCCATTTTGAAAACTTTAGTCAGTGTTTTTATGTGAAATTCATTTGTAAGTTTTGCATATTTCATACAAGTGATTGTAGCTGATTCAGATTGACACATATACAAGATATAAATCAGGCAGTTTATATCTGTTGAGATACATTTTGAAATCCATATATTTGTTTTTGTTTTCTCTTCATCACCAGGGCAGAGATGATGCAGTGTATTAGCGATTCAGCTTTATTCTCAGTTTGTTCTGAGGTAGCTACCATGTCGCATTTTTGCAAACTCTTCAATTGTGTAATACTGCCACCAAATTTTCAGTTCTAGCCTAAATGAACCCAAGTATTTTATGTTAACCAATCCCTTGTGTACAATCAGAGCCTCAATGTTTATCTGCAATGTAAGCAAATATACTTAAAATACACCTGTAATTTGAAAACAATTCTTTTCAAGAGTTTTTTCAGTGTATGCAAATTATATGAATGAAGATTGGGTGTTTACCTGTTGTGCTTTTCCCGCAGTAATTGGCATGCTCCATTTTGACCATGGATGATTTTATAAAAATACAAAAGCAGGATAAAGAAAAAAATGTCTTTAATGATCCAAATTATTGTTAATTTGATGCAAGTGATCTGACAAACGTGGAATTGAATCTCCATTAAAACAAGCAGAGTAAAGTACAGCAGTAGACCCACATTTCCTTTCCATTTGCAGAATGTTCCTCCAGACCTCGCAATTTGCAGCTTTGTGCTAGAGCAGTCACTTTCTGTGCGAGCCCTGCAAGAGATGTTGGCCAACACAGTTGAAAAGGGCAATGAGGTAGGTCTGCAAAATAAAGCTTTGGATGGGGTAAAATCAAATTTGTTGTTAACCATTTTAACTCTGTAACCAATTTAAATGGAATGTGTCTTTCTCTGAATCAGCAATCCAAGCTTGTCTTGAAGCTATTAAAAAGTTTATTTCAGATTATTAAAGACTATAGATCTTGATTTTGAGGTTACCTAGATGAAACTGAACATTAATAAAATACATTAATTATGTAACTAATTGTAAGATAAAGTGCTTAATCTTGATGGTGTATTGTTGAAATATTGTTTGTATGATTTATAAACAAAACATGCAGTGAGTACTATTGAGATAAAGCTTGATGATGTTCTTAACGTTTCAAAATTTTTATCTTATTAATCCTCTGATTTAGTTACAGAATTTCAGTACTATGTATCAAATAATGTATGCTCAGTGAACTACAAAAATGACGAATTTACAAATGTGTTTGATCTGATCGATCATTGATGGGACATCTAATGCCAGTGTGGTTCTTGAACTTGTTGAATTTGAATTCTTTTAATGTTGGAAAAAAGGGAAATGATCAAAACTGCAATCCATCCGGAAACTTGGATTTTATTGAATAATTTCCTGAATGTAAAGATTAGAAATATATATAAATAACTTCTTGAACTAAGACAACTTCACTGTTACTGTATGATTGTGGATATAGGACTATATTCACATTGTGTCTTGTTTTGTTTGTCCATCATTTATGTAGCCCTTGTCACCTCTGTGATATTTCATTTAAATTGTGCTTGAAGGCATGCCTGAAACCAAATAAAGTGTTTCTTTTTCTTTTGTCTCAGAAACATTTTATTATCAACACTGTTATTTTTCTGTAATGTTGAAATATTTCGACTTTGTACATGTGTCCAAATAGGATAAAATGATAGGTTAATGTAGTTGCTTGCAGATTTTGTTTGAATATTTAATATAGCCTATTTTATTAATTCATCATTTGTATATCTAACAGCTTTATATTCCAGCACCTGATTGAGATTCTTGGGCAAAGTTTTATAAACCTTGGTGATAAATTGAATGCAATGCCACTTTTTCCGTAATTCAATACCTGCTGATTACTACCCTCCAGTTCCAGTTCTAACATTGTGAACTCCAGATATGTTACAGAAAAACTGTATAACTAAACGCAAATAACCAGAAACAGATGGGAGAGTGATCTATGAGAGAAGACTATTTTGGGGAGATGACATTGAATATCTCACACACATTTTACCAACAGTAGCTCGTACTTCACATATTTAATAGAAATGAGGAGGTATATTATAAGAGGTATATTGTTAATTATATTTGTTTAATCAATGTTAATGCCATTAGTGAGTAGTCCCAATAAGCCAATTAATAAAAGTAATAAATTACAACTTTATTATGTTTTGTAATGAGTTGGTGTTAAAGGTATAATGTATCTTTCAAACCCATAGTTTATTAATTATGTTCAAACCATAGATTAAAGACATCTGAGATTTATTAATTTGTAAGTTTCTCATTATGAACTGTTTTTATCAAGTATTCTTATCCAGAACTACTGATGCTGTCTCAAAGGGCTAAATGAAATATTGGCTACTTTTTCATTCTCTAATCTGCCTGTGATGTTGGATTGTAACCTGGCTTTTTGGGTTTTGGAGAAATCCTATGTTGAGCATGCACATGCAAATGGCATCATGATATTATGGATGAGTGGATTTGGATGTGTCATTCATTCCTGCAACATTATAGCTAGCTTTTCTTCATTCTATAGGTTCTTTGCTGTTAGTTTTAGACATTTCAAGACAATTCAAGAGCGAACTACACAGTAGATGGAAAAGCCCTGGGGAAAATTGATGCACAGAGAGATCTGGGTGTTCAGATCCATTGTACTCTGAAGGTGGCAACGCAGGTCGATAGAGTGGGCAAGAAGGCATTCAGCATGCTTTCATTCATCGGACTGGGTATTGAGCACAAGAGTTGGCAGGTCATGTTAGAGTTGTATAGGACTTTGGTTCGACCACATTCGGAATACTGCGTACAGTTCTGGTCGCCACATTACCAAAAGGATGTGGATGCTTTGGAGAGGGTGCAGAGGAGGTTCACCAGGATGTTGCCTGGTATGGAGGGCGCTAGCTATGAAGAGAGGTTGAGTAGACTAGGATTATTTACATTAGAAAGATGGAGGTTGAGGGGGGACCTGATTGAGGTCTGCAAAATCATGAGAGGTATAGACAGGGTGGATAGCAAGAAGCTTTTCCCCAGAGTGGGGGACTCAATTACTAGGGGTCACGATTTCAAGGTGAGAGGGGAAAACTTTAAGGGAGATATGCATGGAAAGTTCTTTACGCAGAGGGTGGTGGGTACCTGGAACGCGTTAGCCAGATATTCTGATGGCCCCAAGATTATTGTTTCTGTTGGGGTACATAAGAACATAAGAACTAGGAACAGGAGTAGGCCATCTGGCCCCTTGAGCCTGCCCCGCCATTTAATAAGATCATGGCTGATCTTTTTGAGACTCAGCTCCACTTACCCGCCCACTCACCATAACCCTTAATTCCTTTACTGTTCAATTTTTTTTTAAACCATTTAAAACATAGTCCATTTTGCTGTTATTCCTACCAAAATGGATGACCTCACACTTATCAACATTGTATTCCATCTGCCAGACCTTTTGCCCACTCATCTAGACTGTCTGTATCCCTCTGCAGACTTTCAGTGTCTTCTGCACATTTTGCTCTACCACTCACCTTCGTGTCATCTGCAAATTTTGACACACCACACTTAGTCCCCAGCTCCAAATCATCTATGTAAATTGTAAACGATTGCGGTCCCAACACTGATCCCTTAGGCTCACCACTAGCCACTGACTGCCAGCCAGAAAAACACCCATTTACCCCTACTCTTTGCTTTCTACTGGTCAACCAATCCTCTATCCATGCCAATACATTACCTGTAATACCGTGCAACTTTATCTTATGTAGCAGCCTTTGGTGTGGCACCTTGTCAAATGCCTTCTGGAAATCCAGATACACCACATATAACAGCAAAATGGACTATGTTTTAAATGGTAAAAAATCGCAGCACGCTGCTGTGCAGAGGGACTTGGGTGTCCTTGTGCATGAGTCGCTAAAAGTAGGATTGCAGGTGCAGCAGGTAATTAAAAAGGCAAATGGAATTTTGTCTGTCATTGCTAGAGGGATGGAGTTTAAAAACAGGGGAGGCTATGCTGCAGCTGTATAGGGTCCTGGTGAGGCCACACCTGGAGTACTGTGTGCAGTTTTGGCCTCCTTACTTGAGAAGAAATATACTAGCACTGGAGGGGGTGCAGAGGAGATTCACTCAGTTGATTCCAGAGTTGAGAGGGTTGGACTATGAGGAGAGACTGAGTAGGCTGGGATTATACTCATTGGAATTCAGAAGAATGAGGGGAGATCTTATAGAAACATATAGGATTATGAAGGGAATAGATAAGGTGGTTGTTTCCGCTAGCGGGTGAAACTAGGACTAGAGGGCATCGCCTCAAAATAAAGGGAAGCAGATGTAGGACTGAGGCCAGGAGGAACTTCTTCACCCAAAGGGTTGTGAATCTGTGGAATTCCCTGCCCAGTGAAGCGGTTGAAGCTACCTCGCTGAATGTTTTTAAGGCAAGGCTAGATAAATTTTTGAACAGTAAAGGAATTAAGGGTAATGGTGAGTGGGCGGGTAAGTGGAGCTGAATCTCAAAAAAATCAGCCATGATCTTATTAAATGGCGGGGCAGGCTCAAGGGCCTACTCCTGCTCCTAGTTCTTATGTTCTTATGTTATGACATGGAAGCTGATGGACTCTATGGCAGTTCATAGTGACCACTCCTGTACCAGGTGTTGGTTGTTTGAGGAACTGGTTCAGAATTGATGAGTTGGAATCTGAGTTTAGGACAATGTGATACATCAGGGAGGGGGAGAGTTGCCTGGACACTGTTTCAGGAGGCAGTCACACCACTTAGATTAACTCCTTCGAATTTGGTCAGTGGTCTGGGACAGGAAGGTATGACTATGAGAGAGGCAGTTAGAGGGTTCCAGGCAGTAGTATTGCAGGTCCCCCAGCCCTTGAGCTTGTCTAACAGGTTTGAGATTTTTTTGCTCCCTGTGTAACAAAACTAGGGGACTATAGGTAGGATGAGCAAACTGACTGTAGCACCATGCTACAAGGAGTCATTCAAGTAGGGGGTGAAAAGAGAAATGTTGTTACTATCTCTGATTATATATTCAGGGAACTAGACACTGTTCTCTGACCAGGAACAATAGTCCCAAAAGTTTTGTTGCCTGCCTGATGCCTGGTTTCAGGATATCCCATTTGGTTTGCAGAGAAGCTTGGAGTGGGACGGGAAAGAACCAGTTGTCATGCTGCCAGCAATATATGTAGAAAGAGGAAGAGGTTCTGCTGAAGGAATATGAGCAGTTATGGGAAGATGGTTATGGGGAGCAGGAAATGACAGGAGTTAAATAGACTCTTTACATCATTCTTTACAATGAAAGATACTTCAAATATCCCATTAGTATTAAAGAATACTGGATTTACGTACCACCTCCATCGCAATAGAAGTAGTATTGGATAAATGAATGGGGCTAAAGGCACATAAATCACCTGGCCCTGATGGCTTTCATCCTAGAATCCTAAAAGAGATATCTACAAGATAGTGGCTGCATTGGTTTCAGTCTTCCAAAAGTCCTTAGATCTGGAGACATGCCAGAGGATTGGAACACTGCCAATGTGACACCTCTACACAAAAAAGGGAGGGAGGCAAAAAATGTGTAGCTGTACACCAATTAGCCTAACATCCGTTTTTGGAAAAGTAATGGAATCAATTAGAACCATAGAACCCCTACAGTGTGGAAACAGGCTATTCAGCCCAACAGGTCCACATGGACCAAGCCTCCGATGAGCATTCCACCCAGACCCATCCACCCTACCCTATACCTGTAACTGTGCAATTCCCATAGCTAACCCCCCCAGCTTGCACATCCC